TCCCTCCCTCCCTCCCGCCCTCCTGCTCGGGCCTCAGACACTGCTCCAGGTAAGAGAGTTGCACCCTGGGGTATATATGTGAGGCTGTGGTGGAGAAAGACAGGTCCTCCCCTCCTGGGGTGCTTCAGCACCAAGGACACCTCCCTACCTCAGAGCTGCTGCACCTTGGGAGGCACCTGTGGGCCAGCTGCTTGCTGGCACTACCAAGATGAGTCTAGCCAGTCTCCTTTGGGAGTGGTGGCAGCTGTGCCTTCCTTCCCCTGCTTGGGCTGAGAGCAGGTGGTGATGCCTCCTCTTTGCTGGCCTGGCCTGCCAGACAACAGGACACACAACAGGACACTCAAGGCTCCCGGGCTTCTGAATGGAGCTCTGTTTGGCAGCTGGAGCAGGCCCAGCTGGCAATGTGCATGAAGTACTCAGGATGCAGGGGGTGGGGGGATAGCTTCCTTCCTGATCGTAGCTTGCTTGTTCCTGCAAGCCTAGCAGTGGGGGCTGGAGTACTCAGGCCCAGATGTGAACATAAGGGGTCTGCCCACAGGTGAACAGAGGTTTTCTGAGCATGTGCCTCAGCCTTCATTCTGGGTGAGCCTGGGAGGGGGATGGGGTCCTGCAGGGGTGAGCACTCCCTGAGGGCTAGCTCTGTCCTCCTCAGGACTTCTCTTATGATGAACCAAAAGTAGAGTTCGATGTGGATGCGCCCAGTGGCGTGGTAATGGAGGGTTACCTCTTTAAGAGAGCCAGCAATGCCTTCAAGACATGGAACCGGTAAGGATCTTCCTCAGGCAGGGCTGAGGGCAGTGGATATGGAACCAGCTCTACTTGATCCCCCTGTCTCCATCCTCACCCAGGCGCTGGTTCTCCATTCAGAACAGCCAGCTGGTCTACCAAAAGAAGCTCAAGGTATGCTGGGGGCAGAGTCACCATTGGCCAGACCCCTCCCCATCTGAACTATGGGGCAGGCTCCTCAGTGGATGTTGACACGTCACTGAGGACACAGCCAGGCACCAAAATTCAAAAGGTCGTGGGAGCAAGGAATTAGAAATACATTACTTGAGTCTAAGATGAAGGATAAAATGAGATTGTAAGCTTGTACTGCCTACAGGATGCACTGACGGTGGTGGTAGATGACCTACGCCTATGTTCTGTGAAGCCATGTGAGGACATTGAGCGGAGGTTCTGCTTCGAGGTCGTGTCACCCACCAAGTGAGGAGGCCTAGCCCAGGGAAGGGTAGGGGAAGTCCCTGCCCACCCAGCCTGACCAGCTCCTCCCTACAGGAGCTGCATGCTTCAGGCTGACTCTGAGAAGCTACGGCAGGCTTGGGTGCAAGCTGTGCAGGCCAGCATTGCTTCTGCCTACCGAGAGAGCCCAGACAGCTGCTACAGTGAGGTATGTCTCTCCTTCCATATGAGTATGCATACCTATGTACCCACAAAAGAGTTCCTGTAGACTACATATATCCTTGTGCAGGCAGTGTGTACATGTGTGTATGTGCACTGTTTTCATGTGTACATACATGAAGATTTGTGTTTAAGGGGTCCTGGCCTGTGCTGATCTTTCTAACTGGGGAGGGGAGACCTGCTAGGGAGTTCAGACAAGCTCCTGAAGGACTGAGTGGCTCCTCATACCATCCACCAGAGGCTGGACCGCACAGCATCACCATCAACGAGTAGCATTGACTCCACAACGGATTCTCGGGAGCGTGGAGTCAAAGGCGAGAGTGTGCTGCAACGAGTGCAGAGTGTGGCCGGCAACAGCCAATGTGGCGACTGTGGCCAGCCAGATCCTCGCTGGGCCAGCATCAACCTGGGTGTGCTGCTCTGTATCGAGTGCTCAGGCATCCACAGGTGGTCCCTCTGACTCTAGGTGGGCAGGGCTGGCTGAGGTTTAGGATAGAGTCATGCCTTGACTCATCTCTGCTCCCTACTGTCCAGGAGCCTGGGTGTCCACTGCTCTAAAGTGCGGTCCTTGACACTGGATTCCTGGGAGCCAGAACTCCTAAAGGTGTGTATAATGGCTCTTGAAGATGAAGGCCACTTGGTCCTTGAGGAGGCACAGGTGGGATCTTTGTCTCTGAACTTGGACTGACATCTACACACTGTGCTTCCTATAGCTGATGTGTGAGCTTGGAAATAGCACCATGAACCAGATCTATGAGGCCCAGTGTGAGGGCCCAGGCATTAAGAAGCCCACAGCCAGTAGCCCCAGGTGAGGTGAGGGGCAGCCATCTTGGCCTGGGGAGCCCTGGTCTGTGGATGCAGCCTCACATTTGCCTCTGGTTCAGGCAGGACAAGGAGGCCTGGATCAAGGACAAATATGTTGAAAAGAAGTTTCTACGGAAGCTGCCCTCTGCACCAACCCGAGAAGCCCCAAGACGCTGGAGGGCACAGAAGTGTCAGCATCCCCACAGCTCCCCTCATGCCCCCACCGCTCGCTTCAAAGTCCGGCTTGAGCCAGTCCTGCCTTCCATCGCTGCTCTGTCCTCAGGTGGGAGGGCTCCCAGCAGCAGCACTTGAACTCATATACCTGGGCAGGATTGGGAATAGGCTCAGTGCAGCCTTGGGAGGACTTGTGGAACCCTCAGTGTCATGGTGGGGTTGGGTAGGCTGGAGGCATGGTTTCACAGGGGTACCTGAGAACTCTGCCTGACTCCTGGCACGACTTGAGGCACTCCCCATCCTGGGCCATAGTTTCATCCTCTGAACATGTGGCCCACCTCCTGCAGCCGGTACTGTGGAGCGCAAGTTCCGCCGGGACTCCCTCTTCTGCCCTGATGAGCTGGACTCTCTCTTCTCCTACTTCGATGCAGGGGCTGCTGGGGCTGGTCCACGCAGTGAGTGCTGAGAGATCCCCATCCCCTACTGTGTGTCCCCCTCAGGAGTCATATCCTCAGGCAAGGTAGCAAAAGGGGCCAGTTGAGGCATTCCTGGATAGTGAACAAATGTGGATGGCAGTTGCTTAAAGACTCCAGTGCTGGTGTTCCATGAAGGAGGCTGTGCTGGCGTAGGGAGGATTTGGGGATTATCAGGGTTAAGACTGGAAGCACATCAAAAAGGGCTAGGGTTATCTTTTTGTTTGGTTGGGTTTTGTTTTATTTTGTTTGGTTTTGAGACAAGATTTCCCTGTAGCCCCAGCTGACCCAGAAACTGGCTATGTAGACCAGACTGGTCTTGATTTCACAGAGATTCCACCTGCCTCTGCCTCCTGAGTGCTGGGAATTAAGGTGTGTGCCACACATGACTGGCTAGGTTATCTTGACCACCAACCTGGGGGCCAAGACCACAACTCTCAAGAGTTATGTATGTAAGCCATGCATGGTAGGTCACACCTGTAACTCCAGTACTTGGAAGGCTGAGGCAGGAAGAATGTCATGGGTTAGTGAGTTATCTAGGCCAGCCTGGGCTACATACTGAGACCCTATCTCAGAAAAAAAAAGTGATGTGTGGAATGTGTACATAAGCATGTATGTATGGGGCATGTGTAGTAAGGGGGTTGAGGGGTTAGAACAGGCAGCAGAGGGCACTGCAGCACTGGCCCTAAGCTAGGCTCCACAGCTCCTCCCTTGATGCCTGGGTTGTGAATTCAGAGTAAAGACCTCCAAGCCTGGAGGACTCCAGTCCACTCTGGGTCATGCTGGGAGGAGAGGGCTACCCCTGGCCCCTTTGAGCTATATTTTGGTTTCCTCTCAGCCTGGGCAGAATTCCATTGTGTTCCATAGTGAGGGCTGATTCTGCCCCTGAGCGGGAGGGTCCATTAGAAGGTGGGTAGGGCTCCAGCTTACCCTCAGTATTCTGGGACCCCCTCCACACTGAGGACCCCCTCCCCTGTGGTCCTACAGGTCTAAGCAGTGACAGCGGCCTGGGAGGTAGCTCTGATGGCAGTTCAGATATCCTGGCCTTTGGTGCGGGCTCTGTGGTGGACAGTGTCACTGAGGAAGGTGGGTATATGTCCCTCTACCTCAGTGCAACCCCTTGCCCCAGCATCCTTGAGACTCTCAGCTCCTGATCCTTCCCCCTCCCACAGAGGGTGCTGAGTCTGAGGAGTCCAGCAGTGAGGTGGATGGGGAAGCTGAAGCTGAGGCCTGGAGCCTGGCAGATGTACGAGAGCTGCATCCTGGGCTACTGGCACACCAAGCAGCTCGGACTCGTGATCTCCCTGCATTGGCTGCAGCACTGGCCCATGGAGCAGAAGTCAACTGGGCTGATACAGCAGACGAGGGCAAGACACCACTGGTGCAAGCTGTGCTAGGGGTGAGTGCAGGCTGGGCTGGTGTGCAGAACAGGACTGTACCCATATGTGCATTCTGTGGTTCTGGACAGAGACCAGAGTTGATCTTGCTTGAGGGTACTCATGGCAGGGAATTCAGGATGCACAGTCCCTGCCTGGGTCCCTTCCTGGGTCCCTTCCTGGTTCAGTCTGACCTGCCTGGCTTCCCAGGGTTCCTTGATTGTCTGTGAGTTCCTCTTACAAAATGGAGCTGATGTGAACCAAAGAGACAGCCGAGGCCGGGCACCCTTGCACCACGCCACACTCTTGGGCCGCACTGGGTGAGTTACAGGCCTGCCCTGCCCACCCTACCCCACACTCCACCCACCTCAATAAGTTCATCCGCCTCATAATATTCATTCCACCCACCTCAATAAGTTCATCCACCCTCAGCCAGGTTTGCCTATTTCTGAAGCGGGGGGCTGACCAGCATGCCCTGGACCAGGAACAGCAGGACCCGCTGACCATTGCAGTACAGGAAGCTAATGCTGACATCGTCACGCTGTAAGCTAGGCAGGGTCCTGGGACCTGGGTGGTTTGAAGGGGCAGAGATTCTGTGGTGGGGTCTCCTCATGTTGTGCCCCTCCCCTAGGCTTCGCCTGGCTCGCATGACTGAGGAGATGCGAGAGGCCGAGGCACCTTCTGGCCAACCAGGCCCCCTGCCAGGCAGCAGTCCCACTGAACTACAGTACCGCAGGTGCATCCAGGAGTTCATTGGTCTCCACCTGGAGGAGAGCTAGGGCCTGGCAGGCCGGGCAACCGTGGGATCCCTGCCCTGGCCCCGGCCCCGGCCCAGAAATCCTGCATGTCCCTGAAGACCCTAGCCCCTCATCTAGCCACAGCCCTGCCTGTGACAACCATGAGCCCATCCTGACAGCCCCAGAAACCTGGCACTCCTGGAGTCTCCACTCTCCTGCTCTCCTCCCTCCTTCTGGCTGCTCTGATACTCAGCCAAAGGAGAGGTAACTAAGCACTGAGTCTTTTATAGCCCCACATTTGGGGTGGAGGGGTGCTGCATCATCTGGTGCCCCTCATCCCACCTGGGAAACCTTTGTCTTCAGGTGGCTCCTTCAGGGGTCTGGGCTGTTCCTGGCACAAACCACTCAAGGTCCATGTCACCATGTGCCCCTCTGCCCTCAGGGCCTATGTCACCTTGTGCCCCTATGTTTACTGCCCTAGAAAACTGACCTGCTAGCTGGGTCCTTCCTACATACCCTACAGAGCTCTTCCTCCAGCCTGGGGCTGGTGGCTGGCCACCAGCACCTTCCCTGGCAGGAGTGGCAGCTCACCCAGGGAATCAACCTGAGTACCTCGCTCAGTGACCCCAGCATCCAGGTTGGGCTTTGCAGGTGCTGGGAGTGGAGCTTTGGCCCAGACCTTACACCTTGGCTGGATGCAGGCATCCCAAGGCCACATGGTTGGCCATTCAGGTCCTTGTGCCTGAGACCCTAGACCCACCTGCCTCCTCCAGAGGCACTGTCTCTGGTATACTTGGGCCAGAACCCATGCATAAAGCAACTGGCACCTTTCACCCTGTGCCCAATGTTCTTTGTTACTGACTGAGTGGATTTTCTACAATGACCTCGTTCTGATTTTATTTGCGTCTTTTTTTCTGTGGACCCTCAAGGACCACCCTGATACCAGCTCTGCCTGCTACTGGGGAGGCCCACATAGATCTTCCCTGCCCTGCCCCCCAGCCTTATTCCTTGGGCTGGGCCTCTGAGAGGTCCAGGGGTTCCTTATTTGGGAGCCCCACCAATGCCTTCAATGTCCCCTTTTCCGAAGGAGTCCCAGGACAGAGGCTGGGGCCCTCTGCATACTTTGGGCCCTTGGTTAGGTCAAGGCCAGTCAGCTGGTTACTATGCAAACACTGCCCTGGGAGCATCCATGGGCAGTAAGGTGGGCACTGGACCAGGGCCTCTGACTCCCCTGCTTGTCGGCTGTGGCCCTAAAGTGCAAAATCAGCTCCTTTCTCCTGCTTGAGCTCTGCCCACTGCCTACCCCATCACCTTTGGGCTGGCAGGACCCCACTCCTTCCTGCTCTGATCACTCTCGGTTAATAAACCTCTGCCGCTTGCACCCACTGCCTGCTCATTGGCATACCCTGCCTTGCTTGGCTCTGTCTCAACTGAGGGAGTATCTGGAAGCAGCCTTAAGCAGGGTCCCAACAGTGTCCCATCAAAAGAGAATATAACTCAGACCTGATGAGCTTTGAGAAAAACTTGGTCCTGACACCCCCAGCCCTTGTTCCCTTGCCTCTCTGCCTTTCTCTAACCTTAAAGTGTCTGTTGATAAAAATAAGAGTGACCACAACCAGTGAGAATAGCCGGGGCTGGCGTCCTTGACCTGCATTCTGTCCATGTCTGCCGTGGTCTGCTCCAAGGGGTATAGTCTGAGATTTGTAGTTCACCCTGCTGTAGGTAATTGGGGAAACCCACATATGTGCTAGACAGCAGATGGAATAACTGATTTTATTGCAAAGTAGCCCAAGGTTAGCAGATGTCTTGGCCTGGGCCTGTTCTTCCTCCTACCTGCCCAGAGGCTGCCCCAAAGCCAATGCAGACTCTGCCTGACATGTGTATTGATATAGACAGGTGTCAGGAACATGGCACAGACAAATGTGACACCAGACACCACTGTGTAGACATGATTACATCCAGACCTCAGGAGTCCAGAGAGGGGAGACTTCCTAGTTCTGTGTTGGGGCTCCTCAACCCTGGAGGTTACCACTAGGTGGGATAGGTGGGTAAAAAGAGGCTCTGTTGTGTTGAATACGCTTGATAGCTGCATAGGTCAGATAGGACTGCTGCTTGGGCCTTCAAGTGGCTAGGCTGGTCCACCCGGGAAGATGAGGGAGCTCACTGCTACTACAGCTCCCAGCATTAGGTTGAGGGATCAGATAGCCCTATTGGGGTACTTTAGTTGTCAAGATCTCAAGGGGCTTGAGTTCAGCCCAGTTCTTCCACTGAGATGCCCTCCAGATCCCCAGGAAGCATCTGTGGGGAGTTAGCCCCTGCTGGTCCCCCTGGACCTCTGATATCATCCTTGAAGTTTGTGGGCCTCTGGCTGGCCTCTGATGTGTGGGTCTGCTCTGTGGCAGTGCTGGCTCCCAGCCGGGACACCTGCCCCCTGCGAAGCCAGCGGAAGCCCAGCAGCAGTGCGAGGGCGGTGACATCTAGGAGCAGTTCCAGCAGCTCCAGCACAGAGAGGACAGATGAGCCAAACCACAGACTCCAGAGGCTGCCCATGGCAGACAGCAGCTGTGGAACCTGTGGGTAGACAGGCAGCAAATCTAGCACGGCCTCCTGTATCCCACCTCTATGCAGGACTGTGCAGGGCTGCCTCTCCCCCCACCAGTTCTCATACATCTCAGATCAGGTGGGACTGGTTAGCCACGGGCCCTTTTTCCCAAATCTGGCCCTAGATCTCTCCAACCACTCACAGAGTATACTGGTGCTTCATCCACAGTACGGTAGTTGAGCTCCCGATAGAAAATGTTCACCTTGGCCACACTGCTCCTGAGGTAGGGACAGAGATTTAAGGGGGTTGGCAGAGGAGAGGCAGGATGTGTTTCTGGGGGTGGGGGGAGAATGTACCCACCTGTGGCTCCTGCTCCAGTTTGGGCTCTGTGGGTCTTGCTCTCCAAGTACAGGCGGGATCCAGTCCTACACAGAGAAGGCTTGCATGACCACATTGCCCCTGCCCCCAATAACACAGGTGGATGTGAGGAGTACCAGGGGTACTGGCCTATCCCCATTGCATCCCATGAGACTCACAGCAGACTTGGCTGAAGGCCACCTGGAAGTCCCTGCTGAGAGCTTGTACAAAGACTCCCTGGGAGAGACAGCAACACCAGTCATCCTGTAATGCTCTCCAGGGAACAGATTCCTGACCTCCTGGTCCTATTTTCCCCTCTTACCTGCAGGGCCTGGGGCAGCGAGAGATACAGGGGAGCTGATGGGTTTCCAGGTCCTGGTAGAGTCGGTAGAAGCAGTGACCTGGAAAGTGATTGAGAGGAACCAATCAGTTTAGGAGTGACCACCTTGGAGGCCCCTAGCAGTCCCACAGGAGAGAAGGATGGGCTCACCCCAGGCTGGATGTCGCTTGTGGCTGCAGTATTGGGCTCCTGCAGGTAGTGGGTAGAGGTAATAACCACAGGAGCAGGTCTTTACCATCAGCTGCTGGAAGCAGGACACCAAGCATGCCTGAGGAGATAGCAGGGACTCAATTTGGGGGTCCTGCCTACACATGGCTCAGGGACCCCTTCTGACCACCCACTGACCTGCATGGTGTATGAGGTATTATACAACATCTCCACATCCACGCCCTCAGCGCCATCAGTACAGGAGCCATAGGGCTTTCCAAGCCGACGTACTTCATCCTAAGGAAAAGGAGTTTCAGTTCTGTATCTTTAGGCCCTGCCCTATCTCAATGCCTGGGTTGGACAGGAGGTCCCAAACCCTGTCCACCTCTCGAATTCCAATGGTAGTCTGAGTCCCTGGCCGGATGTTGAAGCCACTGTGTTCCAGGAAAGGTGTGTGGTTGTGCCCATGAACCATGACCTTGATTCCAGCCTCCATGGACAAAAGAGGGAGGTGATCTTGCTGCTCAGTCCTGAGGACCAGGCTGATTCCTGGAGAAGCCAAGGGGGAGATATGAGGCCACATTGTCCTGCCCACTCCACAGTCATGTCCATATGCCTGCCAGGGATTAGCACTTACCATGAGTGATGCCAGGGTGCTGTGCAGCCCAGCCACCCTTAAAGGTATAGCAGTTACCATAGGTCTGGTGGTGGAACTTCTGGAAGTGCCTAGAACCCAAGGCTATGGTTAGGTCACACATGCTTTTCATCTTCTACACATATGCCCCAAGAGGCCATAGCCTATCTTACTTGGATAAGGAACTGTTTGTAGCCACCCTTGAACAGCTAACTGCTGGCTTCTGACCAGCTGAACCCCAGGGTAGAACTCTACTGGGTGGGGCAGAGGGGAGCAGCCTACCAGCCCTGCCCTGCTTACTGATCCTGGCAGTCCTCACTGTCATAGTGACATGACAAGACAATGTGGCCATCATGGCCTTGGTAGCTGTCCTCCCAGACTGTGGGGAGCAGGGCCAGGATGTCCATGTAGTGGAAGAGGTACCATTCCTGGGCAGCTGTCACACCTGAGGAGTAGGCACGGTAGAAGCAGTCGCCACCGGTGCTGTTACACTGAGAGGACACAGGGTCAGTACAGTCATAGCCATTGTCTGTCCTTTCCAGAAATGCTCCCTTGGGGGCAGCAACACACTAGGACCTTCACCTCCTTGAGTCCTGGTACTCACCAGTCTGAAACCCACTTTGTGTTGGTTGTCCAGGTGACTCAACCATTGCAGACGGATCCCACGATCCAGCTGGAAGTGGGGCCCATGGCTGGGGACATTGGCAAAAGGGGCATCCCTGCTCTCACTAAGGTTGAACTTGTAGAGGGCATAGATGTTCTCCCAGGCAAATGCATCAAGTACTTCCAGATGTTGGCGAATGGGGCTTGGCCTAGAAGCGGGGCCAGACAATATGGACCCATTGAGTGAGAACCACCACCTCCTAGCATCAGTCACCTGGAGCATTCTTGGGGAGTGGCTTGTGGGGTCCCCTATGGCACTGACCCTGATGGTCCAACACTATGTGACCTCAGTGCCCCTGTGTGTCCAGTGAAGACAGCAGCCCCTCATCCTTCTCAGCACACTGAAGAGGAGCTCTGAATAGGAGCTGGGCCTAGGCACTCCCATGACTTCACAGTTGAGGTCAGGTCCCCAGCCTGGCCATCCCTAGGGCTTTATGCCCTCTTGGCAGGCTCACAGCCACTCCTCATCTAGAATGGCACTTGTCCTCCCTTTTGAGGTACCATACAATTGAAGCCCAGCTCAGACTGACCTAGAAAGTCCCCTTTGGGGCTGGAGAGATGGCTCAGCAGTTAAGAGCACTGGCTGCTTGGGTTCAGTTCCCAGCACCCATATGGTGGTTAATAACTGTCCAATATTCCAGTTCCAAGGGGTCCAATGCCTTCTTCTGACTCCATACATACATGCAGACAATATACTTGTCCTAGTTTGTTCTTCATTGCTGTGACAAAACACTCTGACCAATACCAACTTGGGGAGGAAAGGGTTTATTCAGCTTACAACTCCCAGGTCACAGTTCATCCCTCCTGTTGCTGTGATAAACACTATGACCAAAAGCGGCTGGGGAGGAAAGGGTTTATTTTGTCTTATACGTTACAGTCCATCATCCAGGGAAGCCAAGGCAGGAACTCCAGGTGGGAACAGAAGAAGAGACCATGGAGGAGCGCTGCTGACAGCTTGCTTTCCTGGCCTGGCTCAGCTACCTTTCTTATGCAACACAGGCCCACCTGCCCAGGGATGGGACCACCCACAGTGAGCTGGGTCCTACCACATCACTCATCAAGAAGATGCCCCTCAGACATGGCCACAGGCCAGTCCAGTAGAGGAAATTCCCCAACTGAGGCTCCTTCAACCCAGGTGTGTCAAGTTGACACTAAAGTTATCCAACACAATACTCATACACATAATAGTAATAATAATAATAATTTTAAAGTCCCCTCTACCCCTACAACCCTCAGCTCCCAGTGGTATCTGGTTGTTCCCTCAAGGTGACATTAGGAGACCTGAGAAGTCCTGGCTAGGTGCAGGGGGTGGGGGAGATGGGGGTCATGGTGCATCATCTGAGACCACATCAAAAGAGAGGTCCTTGTCTGCAGAGGTAAGGTGCTAGGGAGCCCACCCCCAAGGCTGACAACTCCCAGGCCCTCACCTATATGGGTTCATGTCACACAGAGTGACTGATGGTAAGAGTTTGTGCTCAGAATGCACAGACACTGCCATGATGACTGGGTAACTCCAATACTGTTTCAAGAGCAGTGCAAGCTGCCAATATAGCACCCCCATGGTACCCAGGAGCAGCAACCCCCAGGATGCTGTCTTAAGCCGATTCTGACGGGAACAGACAAGGCGGATGGTGCCATGGATAGTGGCATTGGCACAGAAAAAAGTGAGCAGCTCCCTGAAGGAGGTGTGTAGCTCCACTAGTCCCTCCTTGTCCTCCTCCTGGGAAGGCAGAATGGGTGTCTGGCCCTGGGGAGTCTTCCAGGTCTCAGGCTCTGTGCTGGCTTCTTGGACCATGATTCCAGCCTGTGTGCGAGAAGAAAGCCTCAACAAGTGCCACCTGTCTCCTGGGCTCTTTTCTGCTGGGCTAAACCCATACTGCACAGCCAGAATGCCCCACTGGGTGACTGATGGATTTCCATTCACTTTACCTGGAAATATTCAGGACAGCAATGTCCATGGGTACTAGTGGCACAGTCCAGCCTGCTCTGTTGGTCAGACACAACCTCATCATAGGCTGGTCCATGTTCAGCACTGACCCTGCACCATTCTTTCCAGGATGCCATCAGGGCATGAGATCCCTGCCTCAGTCCTATCCTATTATGACATAGAGCTGATCCTGGGAAGTAAGAGTGGTGAAATCATAGCGGACACAGTCTTACAGGTGGGTTGAAGCCAGGTAGGATTTCTTGAGTGATCCCTGGGAAGAGGCAGGTTCAAGTGCCCTGCTTGGGTAGGGGCTTGGCTGTGTTTGTGGTCAATGACGATCTAGAAACCCTGGAAGAGCTTGCCTTTGAGATTTGAAGGTCTTCACCAACCCCTGGCACTCAGCATAGCTAGAATGTGTTAGAACTAATGCAATCAGGCTGGACTGGTAACATCTAGGCTAAGGATCAGGCTTAAACATTGCTCAGCTCTGCAGGACCAAGGCAGATCATTTGTCTACAATGGCTTAGGGTTTAGGAAAGGCCTTAGGCTTCAGGAAAAGTAGGCCTGGGGGCAGTAACCCAGCCAGCTGTAAACATGCAAGGGCTTCAAAGAGATAAAGACACTGACAGACCCTGCCCTGGAGTCCCCAGGGTCCCAGCATATACATACATAGGGATCCTTTGTGCCATGGGGTCCTGATCAAGCCAGGCCTACTGGCCCAAGACTGACTCTTGAGTCACCATATAGGATCCCTGAAGACTTTCTACCTGAACCCTTTCTTGGTTTAATCACTGAGCTTTCTCATGTCTGGAATATGTCTGGAGTGTGCCTGCTGAGTTCAAGCCCCCTTCTACTGCCAGGCCTAGGCAAGCATCTGCTGAAACTTTGCCTGTTTGAGTCCCACCAGGTGTGCCTAAGCAAGCTGCTCCAACGTGTTTGGGTAGTGTACATATTAGAGCAAACAATCCAGTTTCAGAGGGGGCTGGAAGCACGGGTGGGTTAGACAAGACGTCTTCTCAAGTCTGTGAGCTCCCTCATGTCCCATAGCAGCCAGGTCTGAAGCGTGTGTCAACATAGAGTACTGTTGGTAGCCTCATAGTACAGACCTCTGCTCATGTGTTTCTCCCTGTCATGTAGAGAGGTCATGGGTAAGGCAGGATAGTAGTTATTTACAGGTGAGACAAAGGAGGGTCTAAAGATTCTGTTGAACAGTTGGGCTGGAGGTTTTAGAGCAGGGTCAGGACAACATCCAAGGCTACTCAGAGATGGGGCAGAGCCTAACTTCTAGCACAAAGCCTGAGACCCACGGAGGCAGACCTGAATACAGGAGTTCTTCTCCCCCCCACCCCCGCCACTGGGGGCTGTCCCACACATTGTCTGGAATGCTCTTTGAGGGTCTATTCAGTATGTACTATTGCCAGGTATGGTGGCACACACCTTTAATCCCAGCACTCAGGAGGCAGAGGCAGGCGGATCTCTGTGAATTCAAGGCCAGCCTGGTCTACATAGTGAGTTCTAGGACAGCTGGGGCTACAGGGAGACCCTGTCTCAAAAAGACCAAAAAAAAATGTACTATGCCCTACCAGGAGAGACACAGTTGCTCTCACCTTGGTCTAGCTGACCAGGCGATAAACTGCCCTGATCATCAAGAAAGGTTCCCTGCCTAGCAGCATCACAGAAACCAGCACAGGAAGCAGAGCCCACACCAAGCACCCCTTGATACCTCAAGGCTGGACTTTCCTTGTTCAGGTGCCTCTATTCTTCCACCAAGACTGTTGGTACTCACCTAGGATGGTGACAGCTCTGGTAGGTCATAGAGCAGGAGGTGGCTGAGGCTGGCTGGGAAGCCTCCTCTTTATAACAGGCCACTGAGTGTGGGTGGAGTGACAGGGGAGGGGCCAAGAGTCCAGGATGGACACACCTGCTCTGGAAGGGGAATTCTTAGGGAGGCAGAGATGAAGGTCCCCTTTGCTAGGTGAGCCTTTCTTACACTGAGTCTAACAGAAGAGACCTGACCCTTTACCCTAGCTGTGGTGAGGGGGTAGCAGGTTTTGGAGGAGGAAAAGAGATTTTGAGCCAGGACTCCTTTGGCTGCCCCATGTGCTACAATGACTCCTGGATTTTAGGCTTGGGCTCCCACAAGGCTGGGAGGGACATCTGCTTGCCAACATCTGCTTGGCTTATACCTCCAGCACTGAGCACAGGTGTTTGTGGAGGAGGGACACTGGGTGGGGGCCTCTACTCCCAGAACTCAGGAGTTCCTTGAGACCAGCTGCACAGCTATTGGGATGGGCACTAACTGTAGGAACAATCTGGGGCCTGGATGAGGGGGCAGGAGCTTACCGTCTCCACAGCATCAACCATACTATACACTGGAACCATGCCACATGCATACTAAAACACACACGAAGACCACACATACAATAAGACTCCGCTCCAAATTCAGGGACAAAAATCACATAGTGGACTGTCATAAGACCGACTTTCCAGATGCCACAACCTGAGGACTCTCAATGATTCCTGTCTCTTCTGGGGAACCTTGCATGTCCCAGGATGATCCACTGGTCTCACCATGCCAATGACCAGCCCCTTGGCCTGGTCTGAAGCTCTGCCACACTTTCCCCAGGACAGATTCTGGGCTCCTGACACTGGATACTCAAACCAATTATAAGGATCTGGATTAGGCCAAGTGAGCAAGTGCCCATCCCCACTGCATCCACCAGGTAGAATCTTAACTCCCAAGAAAGGTGAGGTCATTAGTCTCTTGTTTCTGGAAGCAGGCAGTAGCCACTGATAACTTCCCAGGAAAGGGAAGTCATGCTGAGGAAGAGTGGCTTGGACTTGGCTGGTTGGGTGGGAATCACAGCTCTGTCATTCACCATCTGTGTGGCCATACCCAAATTACTCAACCTCTCTGAGCCTGTTTTCTCAAGTAAAAAAGGGCTCAGGTGCCTCTTTAAGCCTAAGGCTCAGAAGTGATACTACTTAATATGGGCTGGTGAGGGACCCTCAGACTCGGCACAGGCCCTGGGGTATACCTTCACATCAAGCAATGTTCCTTTGGAAGACTTGGGCCCATGTTAATGAACATAATGCTATGTGACTCTCAGGAGCAGAAGAGGAAGGGTCTGGGCTCTCAAGGTCATCTGAACTAAGCAAACCATGTCTCCCAATATCATAGGAGTTGCAAAAAGAAGTGCCAGGAGAGAAGCATAGCTGGAGAGAGGGACATACCTTCAATGACCCATGTTCCACAAAGCCTGAGTCAGAGCCTCCAGCTCAGTCCTCCTCACCTCTTTCTGGGAAACCCCAAGGGACTACTAAGGCCCAGGGAAGGCACCAAGGGGGAAAGAGTCAGCTCCATGCCCTGCACTTGACCTGGGTCCCAGAGTTTATTCTCCTCCTTCTTCCTGGTCTGTCCCCAGTCTGCTTCCCCAGGTGCCCCTAGTCCTGTGAAGGGTAGGCAGGCTGCAGTAGCAGTAACATAAGAGTGAACCTAGCTTCTGACTCATGAGGGGCCCCTGTGGTCACTACTCACTAAGTGTATGTTGAAAGACATGGAAAATGAGAGAGAGAGATGAGAGAGAGAGAGAGAGAGAGAGAGAGAATAAAGATGTCTCTCGCCTCTACCAGCACAAGCCTTCTGCTTTCCCAGGAAGGACATCTGAGCACTTACCTCCACCCCAAGGCTTTTAGGTGGCTGGCCACAGGAGTAACCAGGAGCAGGAAGAGTCCTCTCCCAGGACAGGAATGCCTTGGGACTACAAGTGCCTGTGTTTATGGGACACCAGACTTGTTCCTCTCCTGGTGTTCCCCACATTCTGGTGCAGCTCAGAGTGGGCCCTGAGAAGGCTCTTCTGCAACCAGTGTGAAACACACAAGATTCTGGGAGGAGGAGCTGGGACATCCTCCCTGGGCTGGGGGCTGATGAGTTTGGGCTTTTTGGTGAGGGGCCCTCTTGTGGTACTGCAGAGACCCCCATGCATTGACTATACTGGCCAGGCAGGGTCTTGGGCCACCACAGAACAGGCACTGATATGGGGGCATACCTTGAGGTTTGGCCAGATGCTTCCTGTTTGGTGTCAGGAGGGTATGCGGGGATATTCTCCTGGGTCACCTCCAAGCTAGCTTTTTGGGGCTTCTCCTTAAGCTTTGGCCCAACAATCTCTACTGGTGAAATGTGACCAAAGCCTTGAGATCTACACTG